AACTTGGTTTGTTTGTTTTGTTGGAAATGCATTTGAAGCTAGAAATGAACCAGCAGTCTGCAGCAGGAATTTGATTCTCTGCTGTCTTCATAGTTCCACTTGTGCTTTCAGGCTCTTTCTATGTGTAAAAACTGTTACCGGTCACTTAAAAGTACAGTTAACCTCCGACACTTTGGCTCATCGGACCAAAAACAAAACTTTTTTCCATCTTCAAGTAATGAGAGGTATTTGAGGATGAGTGTATGTTTTTCCTTTAATTCTCTCGGTGTAAACTCAGTCAAGCTTTCCTATTTTTTTTTCTTACTAAACTGGGATGACTGGGTTTGTTGGAGTATAGCAGTATAACATTTTATTCAACAGGGTTTTGCAATTTTTGCTTTTAAATCTAAGTTGACTTTACCTGCAGGGACCCTGGACACACAAATGACTGAAAAAGGAAAACAAATTATGCTTAAAAGAAACTTTGTCTGAATATTTCTCAGTTAAAAGCATTTTTTTCTTAATAATTTTCTTTAAGAGTCATTAACAACCTTTTAGAGTTAAATAAAACTCTGCGCCTGTAACATCTTCACTGTTTTGAACTCCAGAGCTTGTAGGAGATCTGTTGTACTTGTTAGCTGCAGGCTGGGCTCCAGAGACCGTCTTTAGTGAACGAGTGGAGTTGAAGCTTAAATGAGTTAAATCTGGTCTCAGGGGGCAAACTCTGGTTTTGTTTTATAAATGCGGCATTTCTAATGTGTTTGAAGTAAACGCTACTTCATTTAGAAGCTGGTAGGCGAAAAGTCAAAACTGAACAATTTCATGACACCCAGCGGTAAAATGCTGCCCCCTGGTGGTGAAAGCTTTGGTTAAAATATACAAAAGTTATTTAGAAAAACAAGGATGAAAAGGATGAGATTTTTATTTTATTTTGTTTCTATTTCGTTTGAGCACCATGTAGAGACGTCTTGCTGACGCGCTCGCCTGTTTTTCAGGTTCAAGAGTTCGAGCACGTAAACGGCCAGTGGTCGATGCCCTGGATGGCCGAGCTGGAGGAGAACAAGAGGGCCGCGGCTCAGCCCGATTCTCCTGCAAAAACGCCGTCCACCGGCACCCCCGCCGACACGCAGCCCAACACGCCTGTGCCAGGTAACACTCACACTGGAGCTAAACCAACAAACACACAAGTCATACAGGATACTCGATGTGTTTGTGATGAAAAATAAAGTGTATAAAAATAGAACAATATCACGAGATACTTTGTGTTTGTAGTCGACGACTCCTCGAAGGACTGTGAGAAGGATGTGAAGAAAGAGGGCGAGGCAGAGAAGAACGGTAAAGAGGCCGGAAAAACCAGCAACGAGGTAAAGACTGAGTGCTGTGAATGAAATCGGGTTTATGGAGTCGGAAGGAGGAAAGATTTTTAATCTTCCACGTCTCCGGCAGGTGATCGCCATCCCAGACGATGACGAGAAGAGTCCGTCAGCCGAGCAGGAGAAGAAGAACGGGGAGCCAATGGAGACGGACAAACCGAGCAATGGCGAAACGGAGGGCGTGAAAGAGAAAGAAGGCGAGAAGATGGAGGAAGGAGAGGGTGAGAAGAAGAGTCCAGAGGGAGCGGAGGAAACGAAGCCCCCCTCAGAGGCAAAGACAGAGGGGTCAGAGGTCAAACCTGAGGATGCAGAGGTCAAAGGTAAAACTAGTCACTCAGGATTCTTCCTGTTTTAATATATTTTAAAATAAAACTTTAGAGAGTAAGTGATAGAGATACACCTTGTTATTTGGTTACTAAGTTCTTCCTTTTTTTAAAAATCTTGATTTCAGCAGAAGAAAAGAAGGAAGAGAAGACAGAAAAGATGGACACCACGCCTCCCGCAGATGAAAAGAAAGGTGCCGATGACGTTTCCTGCAGGGTTTCTCGGCGCTCTCTGACGCTCTGTCGTTAATTGTGATTCCTTTTTCATCCTCCCGCAGATGTGAAGGAGGAGAAGGAGACTCAGAAACCAGTGGAGTCGGCGGCCAAACTGCAGAACGGAGACGGCAACAAGGAGGGAACGGCGTCGACCGCCGCTGCCACGGCGAGCGGGGCCAGCGAGGAGAAGAAGAAAGCCAAGACTCGGTTCATGTTCAACATCGCAGACGGAGGATTCACAGGTACACGCTGGCTCAGACTCGAGCACAACTCATTCGAATGTTTTCAATTCAGCGCTGACTCACGTGTTTCTCTCAGAGCTCCACTCACTGTGGCAGAACGAGGAGCGCGCTGCCACGGTAACCAAGAAAACCAACGAGATCTGGCATCGCCGCCACGACTACTGGCTGCTGGCCGGCATCATACAGTATCCTTTGCACACCTGTCTGTCTGTTTGGCTTCCCTGGAGACTAAAACAATAGCACTTAATGTGAGATCAGAGTCTGTTGTTTCCTTTGACCTCTACCTCCTTCAGACACGGTTACGCCCGCTGGCAGGACATCCAGAACGACGTCAAGTTTGCCATCCTCAACGAGCCTTTTAAAGGAGAGATGAACAGAGGAAACTTCCTGGAAATCAAGAACAAGTTCCTCGCCAGAAGATTCAAGGTACGATAGCTTTGACTTTAAAGATATTTTTTTCTGATAAAGACTTGTTTCAGGTAAAGGACGACATCAACACTGTTTGTGTTTCTGATCGTTTTCTTCCACTCATCTGAAATTCGATGTTACAGAGGAGATGGATCTTTGAACTGAGCAGAACATTTAAAATAAAATGACTCTTTGTTCGCCTCCGCTGCAGCTGTTGGAACAGGCGCTGGTGATCGAGGAGCAGCTGCGACGCGCCGCCTACCTCAACATGTCGGAGGACCCCTCCCACCCCTCCATGGCCCTCAACACCCGCTTCAGCGAGGTGGAGTGTCTGGCCGAGTCTCACCAGCACCTCAGCAAGGAGTCCATGTCTGGGAACAAACCGGCCAACGCCGTCCTGCACAAAGGTAACGTCGGCGAGCAGGCTTAGCTGTTTGTTTTTAGAGTCGCGCTGCTAAAAATGTCAACTTTGTCTGATTTTTAAGATAAAAGCACCTTGAGAACATTAAAATAAGTTGTGAAGAACCTCAAAAATAACTCTAATGTATGTGTCTGTCCTCCCTCAGTGCTGAAGCAGTTGGAGGAGCTGCTGAGTGACATGAAGGCGGACGTCACCCGCCTGCCTGCAACCATCGCCCGGATACCGCCGGTTGCAGTCCGACTCCAGATGTCTGAGAGGAACATCCTGAGCCGCTTGGCAAGCAGAGCACCTGAACCACAGCCGCAGACGCAGCAGGTAACTAACACACACACACACACACACACACACACACACGACATCTCTCTGACCTCACCTCTCCGTTCCTCCCCGGCAGATGTCGCAGCAGTGAGACTGAACGTCGGCTCTTTACCTCGAAAACCACCCCCTGCCTCACCTCGACATTCCTGATTGGTGCACAGGAGTAAGACAGACTTCGCGCCTCAAGCTTGAAGCCACGCCCACTTCACATTTTTTGGTTTTGTTTGTTTGTTTGTTTTAATTACCCCCACCCCTGAAAAAAAGGACTTTACAGATTTTTTTCCCCCCCCGGAGGATCAAATCCCCCTCCCCTCCCCACCGAGAACGAGGCTGTGGACAGAAAAGCTGTTTTATTTTTTCCTCCATTTTTTTCAACTTCTGTATTAATATTATTGATATAATGTTATTATGATGGTTTTTTTGGGACCTAAACAAAATAAAAAAATTAAATGAAGTTTTGTTGGAGCTTAAGTGATCCTCATAAAAACTCTGCTAACTTTTTATATCCGGTATAATTGTTTTTCTCTGTGTTGTAGCAGCAATGATGAGGTGTGAGTCCTGCACATGTGGCAGCTTTGTGACTTAAAGATGTGATTTGTTCTTGAGAATTTAAAAAATTAATTGGCCGAGTGAAAGAAAATGGAAGGATGAAAGGTGTTTGCTGCTGTTGAAGCTTTACACACATTATGACTTTACTGTTTTTGTTCACTTTCTCGCGGTTAAAGTTCCTCCGGCTTGTTGTGATTTGCATTTTTAGCGCTTGACCTCACAGGAGTCTCCACCAGCCAGCAAGCTTAGCTCCAGGTACTTGACGGCAAGCCACTGGCCGCATTGTTGGCTGTACCTGTTCAACTCCTCATTAACACAAATATCAAATTAAATGGCTGCCATGTTATTGGTTGGTGCATTCGGGCATGTACGCGTGGGGAAGAGAGGTGACTGTGAATGTGGAATGGCGTGAGATGGGCTGTTCCGACTATTTTTAAAGAAATTGCTGATCTGCTTTGGAGAGGCTACGTGGGTAAATCAGAGTCCAAAATGGAGAAAATATCCAGAGTGCAGCAGAGTACTTGTTGATGTCAGAGGAGCTGGCCTGTTCAAGCTGACAGGAATGCAACAGTGACCTCAAATGACCACCAGATACAACCGAGTGCAGCCTGGAAACAAATGCACGCATGCATCTCTCCCATAAGGAAACGAGTCACAGCCCAAAGACTGAAGAAAAGCAGTCCTCAGGTACGTCTCTGTCCACACGTCATCAAACTGGTTTCTCATGACTGAGTTCACTGTACTCGAGGCCTCCACCGTGTGACGCCATCGTATTCATATGGACCAAAATCTCAGGAGTGTATCCAGTACCTTTGTACCACGAAGAGCCGAAGCAGCACTGAAGGAGGGTTGAATCCAGTACGAGTAAGGTGTGACCACGAAAGTATATTTATCAGGTAACTGTATTTTAAACTCCTTTAAATGTCACCAAGTCCTCAATGACCCACGCGGTGTTTGTATTTTTAGTTTGGTTTAATTTTTCTCCCTGTATGAGACTTCACCTGAAAGGCAAAATCTTCTGCTCTATTAAAATGTGCCTGCTCAGGTGGTCGACTGCTGCATATTCAACGTGGACTCATTTAAAACACAAGCCCTTTAAAACCTATAGTTTGTATTTAGGCTGAAGAATATTAAAGATGCCAAACAAACGAGAGCACAAAGACGCTGTGTGTGTAGCAAACATGACTTTATTTGAAAGTCCAGGCTGTTCTCTCTGAGCGTGTCAAAGTACAGAAGAAACACTGACGATGATGATGATGAGCGACTCCCACCTTCCACCATTCGGTCTAAGATGGACTAATATATTTCAAAGGTTAAATAATCACTTCAGCCTCAAAGCTCCTTCACACACAGGGGACCGATCCAGGCTGAACAAAGAAACACGTTGAACATTCAAACCACAGATAACAAAACTCAGGCTGGTTCACAACACGATGAAACAAATGCAGGACAGCCGGACGGAGCTGGGCACGCGAGCAGGTGGGTTAATCACGCAGGAAGTCAGATTTCTGCTCAGTAATGGTCTGCACCGAGAGAAGAGCCAAGCAGGAATCTGTAAACCCAGGTTTAACACAGAAAGAGCAGCTGTGCTTAAATGTTTCAAGCTCGAGTAGGAAACCTGATTTCAGTGTCACTCATGAGGATTCGTGGCGTGAGCGTTAGGATGAAGAGCGAGAAAGTCAGAATTGGTGGATCATCGAAACCTCAAAGCCTGACAGAGACGATGGGTTTCAAGCCTGATAACAAAGTTCGATGCAGGCTTTCGTCTTTACAAAGCTGTAACTTTACAGAAAAGATGAATATCTCTAATTTCCCTTCCTGCTGATCTGGCGATCCAGTGTCACTCCTGCCTTTATTAAGATTTCCATGACTGACGATGAGAATCCTAAAGGCTGCATTATGTGAACTGAATTATCGTACGTTTAAATTTACTTGGATAGATGATCATCTTCATGCAGAGATGATTTTATATTTAAAGCACAAAGCCTAACTTTGTAGAGATTTTTAGTATAACACGGAAAGCTCATTTTATTTCAAGATTAGTCTGCAATGCTGTGAATTATGGGATGGCACTGCTCCAGTGTATCCTCTGCTAAAGGATGTAATAAAGGAAGCACTGATGCTCTTTTCCTTTGTATTTAAGGAACTCAAACAGCTCTTTTGGATGCTGCTCACATCCCTCTGGGTCACTCAGAAGCCCTCTGAAGAGAAGCCAGCTGACTATTCGACTTCAGCTCTTACTGGTGTCCAGTAAACCTCCCACTGCTTCCTGTCCATGAATCTTGCATGCACTGAGCTGCAGAAAAACCAGGCGCAGCAGGAGGTTTTTTCTTTTTGTTTCAGTGTTTAAAGGACAGACCTGGGTCAACAGATTTTACACCTGCAGTAAACCCAACCCGGTAACAAAGTCAGGAAACCGGCCTCATGCGGAGGCACAATAAGGAGGTAGTGGAGCACATTACGTGAGCATGCATGGAGGCTTTGGAGGAAGGCATCGCTGGGGTGGAGGAGCACTGAGGAGAGGCTGGATTTGGCGTTCGTGGTGCAGACTCGTCCTGTGACTTGTTCGTCCATCCCCGAAGAGCAGCTCAGTAGAAGAAATACACTGAGGACAGCAAACACAGATATTTGTCTCTGAGTGATATTTAAAAGTAAAAAGAAGCTTTTATAACCCTTAGAGTGCAACAGACTGTAAAATCCTCCTAGGACGTCTCCTGGTGCAGCTCTGGATCATCTTCTGCTTGTCTGCTTTTTTTAGACTGCTCTGATTGCTCTGTACTTTCAAACATCAACTTCTGCATCAAACTGCTCTGATTTTACACGAGGATCTGCAGCTCTGAGTGCAGACAGCAGTCAGTGATGGGTGCAGCTACCGGCTCTGAAAGTAAAGTAAAGTAAAATTTGCTAGCCTTTGAAAAACCTAATCGGCAGAATGTGTCTGCAAACTTTCCTTAAAATGAGTTCTAATGTTTCTGCAGAAGAAGCAGAACCTCCATACTGAAAATGCTCCACAGGTGCACATAAGGAGGCCAAGAAACCACATGCAAAAATAAGAGAAGGCTTTATTTTACTCACAGAAAATGACGCCAACAAATATAACACCTACAATGGCCATGATGATCATCATCTGGAAGAAAGACAAAACAAACAGAGCCATCAGAAACAAAAGATGAACTTAAGAAGATGAAACAGCCGTTTAATTCCACCCAGACAATCAATCACTCCATCGTCTGCTGCTTATCAGCCTCCAACCCCCTCCTCCAGCTCCTCAGAGGGGATACTGAGGTGTTCCCGGGTCAGCAGAGACATCATCTCTCCAGCTTGTCTTCAGTCTGCTCGGGGTCTCTTCTAACCCAGACATGTGTCCACCAAACCTGGCTTGTTTGTTGAGAAGCGCTGGCTCCTGTTTGAGCGCTTTCCGGAGCACTGTGGTCCTAGCCAGAAATAATCTTTCACTTTAATTTTAAGTAGAAACAGTGCACAAGTAGAAGTTACAATTAATTATAGCCTCAGTTTATTTACCTGCAAATATACATTTTAAGGTCCTTAATATACATTACTGTGTTTAAAATAGGTATAAACCTTCTCATATTACGTTTCAGCTTTCAACAAAATGTGAAGAAACCACAGCAATGACTTCATGTGAACATCTGTGGACTGTGCTGAAGAGAAATCAGCTCAACTTCAACTGGCCAAACACCGCCCCCTGGTGGTGAAGGTCATTATTAAAATTTGCAGAAGGTAATTGCAAAAGAGAGCGATTATTCTATTACTTATTCTCGGTCATGTATTCAGTCTCAGCGGTACAAACAGTCCCAGTAAGCCTAAAGTGTTGTTTCAGCTCTTGATCTGATGGTCTTCATATGATAATCTGAGACACACAGTTGTTGCTGTGTTGCTGTTCAAACCTTTAGTTTAAAGGGAGCAGTCAATCAGGAGAACGATGGTGTAAGCTGAGGGTGGCCTTAAACGCTCTTTTTTGTAATTATTCCCCCAGATTTGTTGAATTAGTTCAGTGAGAACTGGATTTTACAGCTGGGCGATGATCTGTCTGTAGCTGCGAGGTGGTCCCATGTTTCTTCCTTTCTTCTCAAAGTCTGAATTTTCTTTCTATTTCTGTATAACAAGATGGACTAATTACATTTCCCTTGATGCTAAACAAGCTGTTTCTGCACTCTTGTGTGACTCTGAGATAGAGATTCATATAACTTTGATAATACTGAGTCATTTTTTGTTGAGCTAGTGCTTGTTTCTCTTTGAAATGTGTGTTTTCATTTTAAAAGGTACTTTTTTTAAAGTTAACTTTGGACTAAGAAGTTCACCACCAGGGGGCAGCATTTATAGATTTTAGATGTGCACTGCTGTTCTTTTAACTTTGGACTTTTCTTTGTCACCCATGTCCTTTCCCAGGCTGTCGTTAGAAATAGAATGCATTTTTAATTATTTCCATCATTAAATAAAGACACTGTACTCGTGGCACTGCCTGTCCATACTTCAACTTCAGCTGATATCTCGTTGACTTTTTTATTTTTTAAAGCTTCAGTAAGTCTTTTGGGAGGTTTTGAACTTCTTTTAAATACAAGAAATTACAATAACTGCCATTAAAGGAAGCTTTTGAAGTTTGCAAGCAGAGGCCAAGAATAAAAATAAAAAGAGTTTAAAGGAGCCGAGTAGGCGTGACTAACTAGAAATATAAAGCAGACGACGCCCTGCAGATTTTAATATATGTCATGTTGCACAGTGTGCGTGTGTGTTGATCTAAATTCCCCATAAATAAAATCCACATGATGACATTAGAGTGAAACAGGCAGGAAATCACCTCTGATGGGGGGAGGGCGAGAGAGATTAACAAGAACAAGAGGTTTAGAGAGAGAGAGAGCGATTGGTGGTGACTGTGTGTGTTTGAAATGTGTGTGTGTATTCAGAGCTGTTCAGTGTTTACATATAAAGAAAGAAAATCTCATAACTGTCATTGAAAAAGCTAAAAGAAAATGTTTTTGTGTGTTTTTAGAGCATTTTGTTTGGGTCTATTTTCAGCGGCGTATGAATCCACATTTGTTCTCTGCCCACTGTGAGAGCAGGAGTGTGTTTATGGTGACAGTGTGGGTCATTAAAGCAGAATAAAATGCATCACATATGATTGTTCGGATGTATCCATGTACAAACGTGTGTGTGTGTGTGTTGGATAGGAGAAGTTACGTCACACATCACAGCTGGCTTTTTAATCCCTGACTGTCACTCTAATCCAGATTGAGATTTTCCTCTTCCTCTCTCTGACTTGCTGTCAGTCAAACAGTCTCTCCTCCTCTCCTCTAATGTAATCCTTTTCCTCCTCAGGCTATCCAGCGATTGGACGGTCTGAACTGCACAGAGGGGAGGCGGGGCTTGATGGACTGACGCTGAGATAAAAAAAGACCTGGCATCTGAGGCTGGATGGATGAAGAGGAGATGCTGTGAGGTAGTGATGGATAAGTTAAATGCACTTAATCGGTACATTAAACTGAAACTGTTTGTGCAGCTTCATTTCTAGCTGTTATGATCACAGATTAACATGAAAACAACACATTGATTATGTAAAGATAATTTCAAAGTTTTCTGAAATCTTTTCCACAACAAGGGATGTAACCTGTTTAAACACCTGTTACCACAAATATCTAATCGGCAGCAGCTGAATGCATTGAAGCATGTAGACGTGTAAAATGATCCACAGGGATTTTCCTGCACAAGCATCTCTAGAGTTTAAGAATGACATGAAACAGAGAATATCCAGCGAGCAGTAATGGTTGCTGATGATGTCATAAATCAGGGGAGCATTGCCAGACTGCTTTGAGCTGATAGCAAGCCAGCGGTAACTTAACAACTGCTCATTCCAACTAAAGTATGCAGAAGAGCATCTCTCCACCACAGCCTGTCTGACCATAGTCGCTGACCATGCCAATCCTTTTATGGCCACAGTACATCCATATTCTGCTTCCAGCAAGATAGCACACCTCATGCCACGAACTAAAATGATCTCAAGCTGATTTCTTGAACATGACAGTGAGCTCAGTGTATTTGAACAGCCTCCGCAGTCACCGGATCTCAATCCAACAGAGCATCTTGGGGACCAGGAGATTTGCATCATAGATGTGCAGCTGACAAATCTGCAGCGCTTGCGTGAAAATGCGGAGCTAAATCTCTGAGGTAAGTTTCCAGCACTTCGCTGAATAAATGCCACAAAGTATTAAAGCAGTTCTGAAAGCAAAAGGGGTCCAGCCCAGTTCTACAGGTGCACCTAATGTTCTGCAATCTTGATTTGTAACTCTAAATATTTACTTCAGCTGTGTTGTGATCATTATTTCAGTAATGTTATGTTTAGAGTTTGATGCGTGAAGATCTATAAAACAAACAAAAAACACTTTAATGGTGGTTTCTACTCAGAAATCTGAGGCCACACTCTCTGCTGCAAGAAACCAACCAGAAGGGAGGATGTGGGGTGATGGGAAGGAAACGTGGAAAAATCTCCTTGTGTCACACCCACCTTGCAATTTTTCCACCAGTACTTGTTCTTGAGTTTGGCAGCGCTGCTCTCGAACTGCGAGGCTCCGGCCTGCAGGGCGTCGGCGCGGTCGTCCAGCTCCGACAGCTTCTGATCTCTCTCCAGGACTTTGTCCACATTCACACGCATGATGTCCACCACCTGAGGGATGAAAACACCCATCAGCATCTCTGATACGTTTTCCATTTGCTCGTAGTGAGCTGCAGTCCTCACCTCGTCCACCTGTGCCTGTGTCTGCTGGAGTCGTCTGTTGCTCGTCAGGTTTGGGGCCTGAGCTGGAGGACCCCCCTCACCTTCCGGGGCCCCGGGAGCTCCTGGAGTCCCTGCTGCATCTGGAGTCGACCTGCAGGGAAAATGTGAGTTTTGTAACAAGAATTCAGTCAAAAATGACTCATTTATCCCAGCAGTAGAATACAGTTAGAGGTAGACATCTAGGCTTTGAGCGCATAGCTTCAGGCTTATGTGCAATATATTTAAAGATGGAGTGGTGACTAAACATCCCTGTGGCGTCCAGAGGTGGATGTATGGGTTGTGGGGGCACTGAGAGAGCAGACAGTGATGCAGGGCAACAGCAGCACTGACATGTCAGAGGGGAAAAACAGCTTGAAGGCCATTTAAAGAATGCTGCTTAAAGGCACTGCAGCTCCTTGACTTTTCAAAGCCGACTGCTGCCTTGACTTTTGAAATACTGTATATAAACAGATAGTGTGTATGTAGGTCAGATCTATAGCTAAAGGTTCTACGTGGTTCTCTCTAGAAAATAACATGTTTTAGCTGCAAAAGTTTACTTAAAGCTCAAAAAGCATTTAGGAACTAAAAACTCAACAATAGGAAGGAAACTGTCATGTAGGAAAGTGTCTATGTGTATGCAAAGGCAGCAGAAGAGACTTTATTAAGAAGAAGAAGTGATTTCACCACCAACATACTTGTTGATTCTTTCTTTTTCTTTCAGTTTAACAAAAAGTAGCAGCTGGAAATACATAGGAGGAAACATGGTGCTGAATGGACCAATCAGGGTTGTTCTGTGGTGTAGAACAATGATACGAGGTGTAGTTAGAGTTCCAGAAAGGTTTCAGGTTTAAAACAGCAAAACTTTTCATTCTTGTGCATCTCCAAATCTCAAATGTTAAATCAGCAATCAGACGCATGGCTGCACAAGAGCACGAAAGACATTCAGTTTTCTACACTGATGAAATATTTCTGACTAAATAGTCCGATTTCCTTTGGTGCCGCCCCTCTAAACGCCCCTGTGTGAAGGAACTGCACATATAGTAATGTTAATAATAATAATGAGATGAACTTGGTTTAAAATGGCCAAATATTTGTTTTAAGAAAGAAAAAAGAAAAACAACAGATTTAAAGGGTGTGCAGCACTCTTGATTTTCTCCTTTTTACTTTTGATCCTTGCTCATCGGCCGAGGCAGCAGTGAAGCTGTGACAGTCGAGAGCTGCAAGGTTTTCATGGAGCGCCAGCCTCGATGAGCACAGCTGATGAATGAATCAGGATCGTGATTGCAGGTTTGGGAGGAGCACAGCAGTCTTCAGTTTGGCTCAGACAATAAATACAATATAATTAATAAATATAATAAACCTTTGTGTGCTACTAATATTATGTTTTGAACTCTGAAGTAAGATCTCAGATGATTTTCACAGAGTGAAGCTTGTAATTTGTTAGACCTTAAAAGCAGGAACGCCGCCTGAATTCTAAACACAAACTCTAATTCAGTAATAGAAACATGACTCATCAAAGTTTGGCCTCCGTCCACAAAATCAGAGTCTCAGAGGATGAAACAGCCTCAGCAGCTCAGAAGAGGTAAAGGACAAATTAAAAGAATAAGAAAATAAACAGTTTCACACACACACACACACACACCAACCACACACACACACACACACACCACACACACACACACACACACACACACACACAGAAACATAGCAACACAACACGTTACTGCCAGCAGGCTTGTTTTCCACCCGCAAAATGGAGAAAGATTAGTGCAGCAGCAGAGCAGGTCTGACTGACTGATTGGAGATCAACATGCACTAAGTAATCACTCCCCTCCCCCCGCGGGACAAAACACACCAAAAACATTCCCACAGTGGGTTCTCTTCTCTCTAAAAACTCCCAGGTGTTTGTAGCTTCGTTTCTGTGTGTGTGTGTGTGTGGTGTGTGTGTGTGTGTGTGTGTGTGTGTGTGTGTGTGTGTGTGTGTGTGTGTGTGTGGTGTGTGTGTGTGTGTGTGTGTGTGTGGTGTGTGTGTGTGTGACAGGAAATTAAAGCATCACAGCTCAGCCGATCACACTGTTTGATGATAGTTTTGTAGGTGAGTCACCCGGTGAGTCACGGTCGTACTTCTGCAGTCTCAGCACTGACATTTCCAGACAAGTTTCGCTTTTGATCCATAAATTTAGAGATAAAAATTGATTTTAAAAATTAAATTAATAAGAAAAAAGGAGTTTGAATTGTGCTGTAGCTGTACCCACCACGGAATTTGATGAGGAATCTCTTTAGTCTGTTAACTACACTTTGTTTTTTGTTTTTTTAAAGCAGACATGGATTGAAAGATTTTAGAGGTTTTAAAAAGCCTGAAATAAATAAAAATGAGTCGGAGTACTCACATCTGAGCTGGAGGATGATGGAGATGATCTGAGAGAGGGTGAGGCTGGACCTAAACCGAGGAGGAGGACTTCTGTTCTCTGTCTGATGTCTTCATTCACTTTTTCTCTTAAAACACGTAGAAAAACTACAACTGAAGCAGCTGCGCACAGACCGAAAAAACCTTTCGCGTCAGACACAAGTCCCGCCCCTATGCGCGCACACGCACGCATGCCCGCTTCCTCTGTCTCTCAGTTAATCCCAACACAAACCTGACATCATGGGCTACGTTGGAGCATTTGAAACATGCATTTCTGGATTTTTATTATTGTTATTATTTTAATTTGACTTTTTCAGGAGTAAATTTAAACGTCACATCAGCCTGCGGTCCATCAGCTCCACCTCAGCCACTCCAACAAATCCTAATTCATGTTTTTTCAGTAAAAACTCGGGACTGAAATTGACTCTGAATAACAGACTTTGTGTGGTGGCAATAAATACTCAGGATATAAAATACCTGATGTTTCATGTTTCATCACACTGCGAAGATTCTAAGAACATTTTTTTCTCGTGCATAAAAAAAATGATTTGTGTGTGTAAATTACAGCTTATTTCATATATTTAAAATTTTCTTTAAAATTTCTTTAAATTTCTTTCTCTTTCTCTCTTTATGTTACAATAATTATTTTTTTGTTATTTTGTGACTTTTTTCATAAGCCCACAACTTTTTCTTATGCATTTTTGACTTTGAGGTTTTTTTTTAAATTAATACACGTTATTGTTATTTTTTCTGGATTTCTTCTTCTTTGTACTTTTTGAAGTTGCCACATCCTCTTCCCAGATTTTTTTTTTACCACAATTTTAGCCTTTCTCATGTTGTTTTTCCCTCATGAGTTTGTGTTGACAAAATTTAAGCATTTTGTAAATAGTTTTTTCATAACTCATTTGCATGTCACCACAGATTGGAGCGGTGTTAGGTTCCTTCTACACTGACTGAAACACAGTTATGTTCCCTTTGTACAAATATATTTGAAGAATTAAATGTTTTACAGAATTCAAGCTGTGTGCAAAACAGTAAAGTTTTCATGTCTGTGGTATGTTAGCTGAAGGTAGCGTGGGTTGTCACCTGACCAATACTGAGCAACGTGAGGTGAAAATCAAACGCCCCTCCGTTAATCAGACGTACAGGTGGGGTAACTGTTTCCTGCTGCTTCTGTTTGGTTTGACTGCAGCGAGTTATCCGGTGTTTTCTGTCCTCGGCGTCTTTATGTGAGTATTTAAATGTATTTTTCTGCTTTTCCTTTTACTCACACTGTGCGGCATAATTGCTCCCTTTTTCTGGATTTTCCGATTTTTTTTCACATTTTTCTAAAGTCGAAAATGTTGGGTTTAGATTTTCAAGTGGCTGTTTTTTTTGTCACTCTTCAGGAAAATTGCGTGATTTCGTAACTTTAAAATGGTTCATTTTTACCTTCATCTCCACTGGGTGCTTCCCCCCTGGACTTTGTGCACACTGCACAGCATTGTAGTGCATAGCTGTTAGAATAATTTCCACTTGATTGATTTCTATTTTGAATGGAAAAGTTCTGCAATGGCAAACACCAAGAAAAAGAGCAAGTCATGAGTGGAGCCTGCTTTTGAACTTTGGGCTTGTAAAGACAAACTGCGATGTCTCTGAAGGAGGGAAACGTCTAATCTGAATACAAAGCATTTATTTTTTAAGCGTGTGCTTCTCTATACACATTTCAGACTAACAGTACAACTGATTAGTGTTTAATTTGAATACATGTAATTTCTGCCCAGTTAATCCACTGAGATCAGACTTGTGTAAGCAAATTATATCAAAAGCAGTCCTCTCATCCAAAACGCTTCTTCAGATCTAAAACCTGAAGGAGAAACCAGGTATTTTCTGGTGAGGTTGTGACCTTGGACATCCACACAGCTGCTGTTATCGTGTAGATCAGGGTGTGACTTTCATCTGTAAAAGGCTCTGTGGATGATGGTAGCAGGTGTTGTAGCCCACCTCCTCTGTTCACTAACACGAACAGCCAGAAAAAACACCAAATGTTGCACAGCGGATAATAAAGTGACGACAAAACTTCCTCTAAATGGAAGAACAAACGGCGTGAAAGACAAAGATAACTTGGAAAAGTTTCGTACTGAGAGTCGATCAGAACAAAAGAGGAAGTTTAAAAAAATTCTCGAGCTTTTTGAATTGAAGTTTTTTATATGAAAATGTAAAGTTTGTTTGTGCAGAAGTTTATTAAAACAAAACCTTTCATTGATGAGTGAACAGAGTAGCTACATGGGAACAAAACCAAAGAATTACGTTTCTTCAAAGTATTTTATTCTGCTCATCTTTTCATTTCATCAAACATAGATACAGCTCTGTGCACCACACACTCAAACCTGAACCCCTGACAGCTCAAACACTCCGCTCATAGGTTTTCCTACAAATGGCTTCATGCTTCAGCTCGATTATTTGCTTTTTCTTTTTCATTTCTTTTCTTTTTCGTTTCCTGAAATGTTTAAATTCACGTTTCTCTCTCCACAGATTCCACTTACATTCAGATAATATAGATATGAAGCACTCGGCTAACGGAGCGTCTGCACTGTTTCCTATGGTGAGTGATGGCTTTGCTTTGAAGTTGAACGATAGCAGTTTGTTGCTTTGTTTTCTCATCATTAAAGGAACAAAATGACTCTTCGCCCATTTCTCTCCCTGCACTGAGATCACATAAAAGAACAAAGATTTTAAATTGGATGTTTTTGATGTGCTCAGTGAAGAAAACTGGAGGTCAGACTGTTCCTTTAATGGGTCTGTTTTTTCTCTGGTGAATGTGGCTGGTTACTTAACAAGCAGACATTCAAGTAATCAAAGATGTGATGACATTTGAAGGAGTGAAAACATTCAAAGCATCAGCAAAGACAGAAGCACGCTCATATTTAAAGTCGTGATGAGGACTCTTTTCCTGCAGCATCCTGTACACGTTTGTTTCTTTTTGCTTTGAATCACATCTGGAGGCCTTTGTGCTCGACTTTTCTTACTTTACACCGATGCAGGCTTTATTGCTGAGACACTAACATTAGGTCTGATTTAGCTGAGAGCAACAGCAAGGCCACAAAAACCCACAAAAATAAAGTAAAAAATATGAATCGTTTCAGCCAAATTTACACCATGAAGCTTCCGGCAGCAGTACAACTTCAGCATTGGTATGTACATTAATTACAGTGTTTGTCCTTTACAAACTGTACACAGAGACACAGATAAACAAATAAACCAGAGTGACTGATCCTCATGTATGTCCCACCTAATGTGGCATCTTCATCTTTAAGACAAAATACCTCCCGATCCCACAAAATCAAAGGCAAAAATAACATTTGTATTACACCTATTATTGCCTTGTTAATTAACAGTATTAAGAATAAATAACATAAAAAAGGGAGTGTTACCTAAAGTGTAAGATTAAAGGGGGCCTTTTTCAATCATTTCCAGCTCTGTATTTGTTATTCTTGGGCTATGTCAGAGTAGCTCTGCATAATTCAGTTGATAATAATCCTTATTTGTCTCTTGTAGCTCCTCCCCCTATTAGCCAACCCTCTTCTGATTGGCTGCCCCTCATAAAAAGACATACAAGTTAAACTGTGAACTGTGTGATAGGCTTCTGTAGGAGATATCAGGATATCATACAGATCCATGAGTAGAAAAAAAAA